AAAATGACTTGACAAAGCTCTGAGGGCAGAGCTGGGACGAGGTCCAGGGCCTGATTCTCTTTAACCACCAAGCTATTCGTCCCTCTCCGTCCCTTTCCCACCATACACTCCCGGGATATACAGCACGAGCAGAATTTTCATTAGTTGGCTAATTGTCAAGGTTAAATGGTTGAGACGTCAGAAACTGAGGAAGCCGAGGTCACCAAGAAACCAGACAGCTGAGCTCCCAAATGCTCCAAGTTGTCAATATTGGGAGAACATCCTAGAATGAGGTGCAGAGTCTGAAGGGCTTCTTCTCCTTGGCGGGACAGGCTTTGCGACTCCGTCTTTCTAAAGCTCATCTCTGCATAACCAAACAGCGGCGCCCATCAATTTCTTGAAAAGAAACATCCGTGGCTTCCGTTTTAATGGCAGAAAACTCATTCTTGAGTCAGAGAAAAGATTCAAGTTACCTTGAAACGCTTGTTCTTAAGAAAATGTCCAACGTCAGAGACCCCAAAATTCAAATTAATGATGTACCGAGGGGCCTCCCAACTTTTACAGAATTAAAATTCTTAATCATTTTGACCGGAAGGATATACACTGTCAGTGGGAACTGCACCCCTGTTCTACCTTCACTAAAATCAGAGGCGGTGCTGTCTTTAATTCATTTTACTTACATAACTGACTCTCAACTTCGTTTTTGCGTTAATAAATAACGTTAACGGTAGATAATCCCCAAGCGATTTCCATTTGGTAGTGAACATGTGAACCTTTTTCTTGCACTGAATTTACCTGCCAGTTTAGGTTTTCTTTGCAGTAAAGCTGACCTCGGCTCTGCTGTCTGGGGGGTTAGCTCTGTTCTCAGGTGGTGGTAGGGGAGTAGTTCCGGATCAAGGTGGGACACTGCAGAAACCAGGTGGGGAGAAATGACTCATGTGCCCCCTCCCTCCAGGCAGTGACGGTGACTTTGCTTTCCACATAGTACCTTGCATGCACCACTAACTTTTTTTTTGATCGAAAGAAATAAAATCAGTTGCCTCTCCAAAGAGGTTTTGTTAATTCAGAGAGAATCTTCCCTTATCAATGTGAGCGCTCAAGTGAACAGCTAGAGAGTGGTTTAACTGAAAAGATTTGTGTAAGCACGCTCAGAAGTGAACGACACTTTTATCAGGACCTGACATACCAGCCTGCAGAGAATTGCACAATTTGAGACACCAACGGGACCCAGGGTGCCACCCTGATAATATTGATAACACCACTCATTCTTTCTGCAGGACTCAAGCTTCACCTGTTTAACCTACTTGTAAACAGGAAACATTTTGCTACTTGGCATAACCCTTGCTAAATTTATGTTCCATGTACATGAGTCTAGAGATTCTGAACGTACTTGTTAGGGGACTTGCATAATGGTTCAGAGTGTACTACGGTGAGTTTCAGAGATGGGGCAATGAAGCAGGCAGACTCCCTTATTCAGGAAATCAGAGTGGGAAATGAAGCGAGCTGGTATTTGACTTCACGGTAGTAGTATGTCCCAGTTGCTCTTTATATTAGCTACGTGCAAGGGCAGTAAAAACTAGGTTTAACGGGACACTCGGTGACAATCCAGAGAACTGAATACTAATCCTAGAACCAGTGAGTGTCTATGGGATTTGGGAAAATAAAAGGTTTGTAAAATGATGAAAAGCAGAGCCTCAGAGAGCCAAAGTGTGGCTACCACCTGTTTGTAAAACAGCTATAAATACATGAAACTTCTTTTTCAACGCCATGGTCAGAGATTTTAAATAAAGTGATTCGGTCCTGGCTAGAGCCTAGGGAGCATCGGGAAGACTGGTATCTTACAAGGCAGCCCCCTTCTACTGCAGACACAGCCCGCAAACCCAGCCATGCCCAACAGCTGAGACACCACAACAAAACAGGGCTGCCTAGGAGGGAAGTGGTATCCGGCCGGGAAGAGGGCGCTCGGGAGGGTGTTCCGTGACAGAGGAATGTTTAGGATGTGTTCCATGAAGCGCCTGCCCATGCAGTGGGTCCTGGGTTTGGGCGTGGTGGGCAGTGGGACGGGGTCCCTGCACCGTGGTTAAGAGCACGGCTGCTCAGCACGTCCTGGGCTTCACCCCCGGCTACTAGCTGTGGTCCTCAGCTGAACCCCTCCGCCCTTCTCTGCGACAGCTCCTCCATCCATCAAACTAGGACAGCAGCGCCCACCCTGAAGCACTGCTGTGAGAATTCAAGTGAGATTGCAAGGTGAGCACTTTGCAGAGTGTCTGGTACCTAAAAAGGGAATGTCAAAACATGTATAGAAGATAAGCTATTGGTGACTGCTGGTTTCTGATAACTTTTATTTTTTGTTCTTTTCTACAACTTTCCAACTTTCACCAATGAAAATATCCTAAAGTCAATTTTGTGAGAGGTCAGTATACACCAAATGACAATGCCGTGGATTGGGTCAGGGGTACTAAAAAATGTGCTGCATTGAGAGCGTTCTTAAGGGTCAGAGTTCAACTTCCTCATATTTGCAGATGAGGAAACTGAGGCCCAGAACGGCCACCTTCACAACAAGCTAAGAATAGAAGCCAGGTTTCCAGACTAGGCAAACTCATGACACAAAAGCATGCATGTCTTGCATTTATGATGGCACAGATGAACCTATTTGCAAAGCAGAAACAGAGACACAGATGTAGAGAACAAACGTGTGGACACCGGTGGTGGGGAGAAAGGGGGGTGGGATGAATTGGGAGGTTGGGATGGACATATATACGCCACTGGGTATGAAATAGATAACTAGTGAGGGCCTGCTGTATAGCTCGGGGAACTCTACTCAGAGCTCTGTGGTGACCTGGATGGGAGGGAAATACAAAAGGGAGGGGATATGTGTATACATATGGCTGGTTCTCTTGCATTTACGGTTGGGTGTGATGTACTGGTGTAAAGCAAGTGGATGAGGAAAGGAGGGGCTACGGAGAATGAGAAGAAGCCAAGTGCCTTCCAAGGATTCCAGTCTGGGATCCTGCAAGAGGGGAGATCAGAATGGGGAAGTTTTGAGGGAAGTTGTTTTGATGTGAAGAAGGGTGTGAGTTTGGTTTTGAATGTTGTCAGCTTTGAGACACATCCCAGTGGGTTCTGCCTACAGGCAGTCTCAGATCCAGACTGGGAGCTGGGCAGGGATAAAGACTCGGGAGAGGATGCCATGGAATTAAAAGATGAAGCTGTGCTCAACAAACATTTCAAAGTTCAAAGAATAGACCATAGTGGAAAATACCAAAGGGTTAAGGCTGAGCGGTGAGGGGCAGTTGAAATTAGAAAGGGGGGAAGGAAATGATATTGAAGAAGAGGAATATTTGGGTAAAGGAGCCAGTGGCTTGGTTTCCAGGTGGGTGCAAGCATCAAATCTGAATTCAGGAGGGAGGTCAGGAAAAATAAAGTTGGAAGAAGAAACTGACCGTCCTTTGGCTTCAACCAGGAGGAAGCCACCAGCAAATTTTTAAAGTGCTTTCTGAGATGGGAAAAGGAAGCTGCCTGAATCCCTTATTCAAGAAATGAGGCCGGGAAATAAAGGAGGTATTGGATAATAGTTGGGAGAGATGGCAGAGCAAAGTAATGGCTTATTCAAGATAAAGGACTCTATGAATATTTGAAAGCAGAAGGGAAGAGATGAAGGAGAGATTAAAGCTTTTGGGAGGTAGAAGATAAACCTCAACTAAGAGTTCTCAGGAGGCCAGAAAAACAAAGGCCACGAGATCAAGGCAACATTGGAATCACTAGCATTAAATCCTCGAGACATCTCTCCACCCTGATACCTGGAAAGATGTGAGTTTTAAGTATTTTGGGGCTTTTGGAAGTCTTAAGATATTTTACAAGGGACTTGAAAATTCCACTTACATTCACTTCTCATTTTATAATAGAAACCGTTAATGGCAAACCAAGGATTAAGACCTGCTTCTCCTGGGGTGTGGTGTGTATCTCACCTCTGTACTTAGAGCTGCTGTCACTAAATTATCTGTGTCTTTATTTGCTTATCGACTTCTTCCCTCAATTGCAGGAAGGGAGGGTTCACATGCTTTCTTTTAACACTGTCTCCCAGCAACGTGTATAACGTCCCACACATAACAGGAGCCCAGTAAATATTGGCTAAACGGGTGAATAAAGGAATGAATGAACACAGAAAGGACCCATGCATTCAGGGAGATAACTCAAGATTTGCATTCTTCTCTAAAAATGAATCAGACAGTTTAGCAAGCAGGTTACCCTTTAAACGCCATTTGGTAAATGGCCTTGGGTTTTTCTTGAAGGTATTTCCAGTACCTTAATAAAAAAAATCACACACACCCCAAAGCTATCATCAAAGCCCACAGAAGAACCTATCCTTGAGTACAGATTAGAAGCAAATTTAACTAGATAGTCGGGCAGCATGTGGCATATTTATACTTTCTGTACGGAATCAAGTTAGCATCTACGTTTTCATCTGTGAACAACAGGTATAAACGTAAGAGGTGTTGTGAGGATAATTCAGATTGTAAACTTACAACAGAGTCTGATACCTTTGTTGTGAACTATGAGTATTATCCCACACTGTACTTCCTCTAAAAGTCCAACTTTGTAAAATGTTTTGATTGTACTGCAATTAGGTTACTGAGTAGGCTTACGTTTTTGCATCTTTTTCATCTAAAAACCTTAGTACTCACCAAAAGCTGCTAAGCTCCGAGATCCAGCTGGCATATTACCTAGAATATACTCCATAAATATCTGCTCACTGATTAAATAATGCCTCAAGATTAAAAGTGGCCTCATTGCCATTGCCGTTATTTCATTTCACTCTTGTATCAACTCTGTGAGATGGATGCTCCCTGCCCACCCTGCCCCATTTTACAGATGAGAAATCTAAAGCTCGGGGAGGTTAAGCTACTTTCCCAGCATCACCCAGCACCTTGAACTCTGACCCAAGCCCCCTTTGGCCCTAGTGTAGTCATCTCTCTTTTCTGCTGATGATTCTAGTTCTGATTTTTTTTTTTTCCCATTAGGAAACAATGAGCAGAAGCCCTGGACAAAATGGTTCCTTATTGCAGTTATGGCAACCGTCTGCTTTATCTTGTTAATTTTCTCACTCATCTGCAGAATGTAGGTATTCTTTTTATTTGGGTGCTTTCGCTGGGATCTAAATATTGGATTTTTACCTTCTTGCCATGCATCCGCTGGATGCAGGGTTCTTGTTATCAGGTGGAATTTACGACATTGTTGTGTCTTCCTGGACAGCCTTTCCAAGATGAGTGTGGACCAAATAAAAAACTGGTAAACAGCAGGTGATTTACAGAAACTGGATACAGAGCACAACACAGCCTTCAGTCGTTAGATACCCCCTTCCTGAATCTGCCGACAGTCTATTCATCTCCGCAAAGGATTTTTTTTTGGCTGCAGAGCGTGGCATGCGGGATCTTAGTTCCCCAACCAGGCATCAAACCCGTGCTCCCTGCAGTGGAAGTGTGGATTCTTAACCACAGGAATGCCAGGGAAGTCCCTCTATGAAGGTTTTTACATTTGTGTTTTTTTGATTCCCTGCCTTCCATTCCCTACTTGGTTGCCTCTGTTGAGCCCCCAGGGCATGCTTCTTACTCTTTGGTAAAGGAAGGCATCCCATTGGATGCTGAACTCACTATGGTGCCTCCTGTGTTATGATCCCCAATTATGAGGTACCAACTCCTACCCTGGCCCTTCGGTCAAACAGTCCCTTACTGGCTGATCATTCCCAGGTCAGACACAGATTGTAGAAGGGTCATGCAGATTTGGTGGCCAAACCTAGAGCTTGCAAATTGCCCCATAAAAACTTCTCATCCCTTCTGGCGTCCGGGAAGGCCGAGTGCCACTTAGGAGGCTGCAGAACATGTTCTATCTTATTAGCTTTTTCATAATTTAGAAAGTGACTTTTATTTTAAACAGCTTCACTATTATAAATGTCTTATCAGATGGCATCTATAGGCTGGGGGGCGGTTGGCAGCTCAAAGGAGAAGAAAAAGACAGTAAACCCTGAGAGCTGGCGCCTAGGGGGAGAGGCTGCCTACCAGCATCGTGGGTAACCCTGGGGCCCCACGCACTTGACGTACATCATTTTCAGAAATCAGGCCTGGTAGAACGCACCAACATGAAGCAATTGTCATTTTGTCTCCCTTGGATGATTCAGAAGTCCCATCAGAGCCCTGCAGTACCACCAAGCTCTTCAACTATTATTACAATGTAGATATTTGGAAGTCTTAGTCAATGAAGATTTAGAATTCACAAAACAGCAGGTCCAGGGATTAACTAGGTCAAGTTTTAGAGTAGATATTTAAGGACAATAAAGGCTGTTCTTGCTTATCTATTTCCCTCCTTCACTCTGTTTTCAGATGCCACTTATGGACCAAGGTGTTTCCACCTGTTCCGGCACCAAAGAGTAATATTAAAGAATTCTTTGTAACCATCAACTATGAGGTAATATTGAAGGTTCTTATAACATGTCATATCTGCCCAGGGTTGGGTCCTCAGGGATCTGTCACTGGGTCATTCGTTTTCCACGTTACAAGGCAGGGTCTTTACCCAGGAGGCCAGGTGCCTTCAGGTTGCTTTTGTCATTCTGCTCTTCTTTTAATATATGTTCATTACAGTCTTTGAATATTGCAAAGGTCCTACTCAGTTATGAGTGTCCTCACCAGTCAGACCTGAACTTTTATTTTCTATCACCCAGCTCTTATCACCCAGACCTTGGGCAATTCCTTCAACCCCATGGGCCCTGACTTCCATTTCTGCACAGTAAGGGGCACAGATGTGATGGTCCAATGACCTGTTTATCTCTGACGTTCTAACAATCAATGTTTCTACACATGGGTACCCCAATCAGTAAAGTTTTTCAGAGGGATTTTTCCTAGTTCCTTAGTATAAAGAACCATAGAAAAGGCAACTGATTTCCCCAAATACGTTTTCTTAGGCGCTGTTAACCATTCAGAGCACTTAGGCTTAACTGAATGCTCACTTACCAATGGCATCCAATGGTTCTAGCATCACATGGTAGAAGTCATCCTTTCCCTAGTGAAATGCCTTGGCATCTTTGTTGAAAATAAGTTGTCCATGTATATCTGTGTCTATTTCTGGACTATTAGGTTTCATTGATCTATTTGTCTATCTTTATGCTAATATAATACTGTCTTGATGACTAGAGCTTTATTGTAAACTTGGAGGCCAGGTAGTGTAAGGCTTCCAAACATGACTGTTCAAAGTTGTTTTGGTTATTCTAGGTCCTTTTTATTTCCACATAAATTTTAGAGCCAGTTTATCAATTTCAACAAAAAAAGCTGCTGGGATCAGGATTGTCTTGTATTATAGGTGCATTTGGGAAGAAGTGACATCTTAAACATAACGAGTCTTCCGATCTGTAAATGTGACATCTCAACTTATTTTTGTAGGTTTTCTTTAATTTTTGTCAGCAAGGTCTTGGGATGTTCAGTGTATTGCAGGTTGCTTGTTAAATCTGTCCTTAAATTGAATGGTTATTTAGATCAGGGGCCAGCCGACTTTCTGTAAAGAGCCAGATAGTAAACATTCAAGGGCCAGATGCTTTATCACACTGCCACTGTAGGGGGAAAACATCCACAGACAATATGCAAATAGCTCTGGCCAATAAAACTTTATTTACAAAATCTGGCAATGAGCCAGACTCAGCCCACAGGCTGCAGCCTGCAGACCCTCATCAAGCAATTTTCTTAACAAATTTCATTTTCTCTCTGATAAAGTTACTCATGGTAGGATGAGTTAACTGGTGACTGGTTGTAGGGGCGTTTGGGTCGATCACTCACTCACCAAAATGCATCACGGCAGTAAGAGGTGACCTTTCTTTAGAGTTTGCAGTTCGGGTGTTTGGGATGATTTAGCGGATGACAGTTTCTGACCTACTGAAGCGGAGAATCGAGGCTGGCCCAAGAGTCACCCCTACCCTCAGTTCCACCCTTGTGGTCTCCTTTATCAGGAGAACTGCCGGCTTGCTCTTGTTAACCCGTAGCTTTTCTGGAAGGAAAGTGTGCCCCACGGTGAAACTTGTTTCTCTTCCTGTGAATTCGTGCCGTGGATCCCTCCTGGATCTGGCACATGCATGCCTGGAAAGCACGTGTGGTTTAAGCAGCAGACTCAAGTCATCTGACCCAGCCTCTTAACAGCACATTTTAGTGCTGGTATCTCATTTCCCTTCACAGCCCCCAAAGATTTCCTTGCACATTCTGAGGTTGGTAAAAGAAACTGGCTTAACAGCTTACTGGGTAAGTCTGCGGTTTGCTGTTAATTAACATCAAGTCATGGGGACTTCCCTGGTGGTTCAGTGGTAAAGAATCCGCCTTCCAGTGCAGGGAACGTGGCTTTGATCCCTGGTTGGGGAACTAAGATCCCACACGTCGCGGGGCAACTAAGCCAGCGCCACAACTACTGAGGTCAGCGCCTCAACTAGAGAGCCTGTGTGCCGCAAACTACAGAGCCCGCACAACCAAGACCCGATGCAGCCAAAAAAAAAAAAAAAAAAAAAAAAACCATCAAGTCATGTGTGCAAAACAACAACTCTTGGGGTAGACAGGCTGGTTTCAGAATAAGCAAAGGATTTATGTCAAAACCCATCACGGCCAAGCTCTTCCGGACAACGCACTCTCCTCACATTGCAGCGGGTCAGGAAAACCAGATCAGTGAGAGGGATGGGGTGGGGCGGGAGGGCCGCAGCGTGGAGGGGGAGAGTGGGGAGAACTGGGGAAACGAAGGGTCACCTCCTGCCCTCAGTTCTACCACCTCCACCTGGAGGAGTAGGTGCCTCAGTACAGAGCTGACCACAGCTGGGCCACGTGCTGGGCCAGCCTGTACCTTCAAAGGCAGAGCCTGTGCAACCCACTTCTGGGGCCTTTGCTACAAGGACAACGAGGGGGCCCATTAGAGTTATGGGCAAACTGCCGGGAAGCCTCCCCCTGGTGGGAAAGGAAACCCTCTGCTTTTCATCACCGCTCATACCTCTAAGCTTGATGTTGGTACCCAGAATCCTGGGGTTCAGAGGGTAGCTGCCAACCCAGAGAGGCTGTTAAGCATGTTTTTGCTTGTCCAGGCCTGAGTCAGAAATTGTTCTGTAACGTTCAAGACACAGGTTCTGGTGGCAGGAGAGGGAGGGAGGAAGCAGGGGGATGAGCTTTTTAGTGATAAAAAAGACTCACTAAAAAAACTCTTATTCTCAGCTTTCCATTGGTTACAGACTGGTTTCCAGCCATTCTTTGTTTCTACGCTGGTAACCGGAGAGGGTTCCTTCCGAGATTAAGTAGACAACAACCTATTAAAAGTACATACGGCAGAGAGCACAGGTGCCGTGTTCATCACTGCGTATTCAATGCATCACGTGGTGTCCAGTGCAAAAAATGTGCTGGGACTTCCGTGGCAGTGCAGTGGTTAAGACTCCACGCTCCCAATGCAGGGGACCCGGGTCCAATCCCTGGTCAGGGAACTAGATCCCACATGCATGCTGCAACTGGGAGCCCACGTGCCGCAACTAGGAAAGATCCCCCGTGCTGCAACTAAGACCCAGCGCAGCCAAAAAAACAAAAGTGTGGAATGATTCCTACATGGTTGGTGGGAATGTAAGTTGGTGCAGCCACTATGGAAAACAGTAGGGAGGCTCCTCAGAAAACTAAAAATAGAACTACCATATGATCGAGCAATCCCACTCCTGGACAAAACTATAATTCAAAAAGATACATGCACCCCTGTGTTCACAGCAGCACTGTTCACAATAGCCAAGACATGCAAACAATCTAAATGTCCATCGACAGATGAATGGATAAAGAAGATGTGGTGCATATATACAGCACAATGGAATACTAGTCAGCCATAAAGAATGAAATAATGCCATTGGCAGCAACATGGATGCAACTAGAGATTATCATATTAAGTGAAGTCAGTCAGAAAGAGAAAGACAAATACCATATAATATCACTTATATGTGGAATCTAAAATATGGCACAAATGAACCTATCTACAAAACAGAAACAGACTCAGAGACATAGAGAACAGACTTGTGGCTGTCAGGGGCGGGGTGCGGGGGAGGGATGGGCTGGGAGTTTGGGGGTGGTAGATGCAAACTACTGTATATAGGATGGATAAACAACAAGGTCCTACTGTATAGCACAGGACACTATATTCAATATCCTGTGATAAACCATAATGGAAAAGAATATAAAAAAATAATATATATGTGTACAACTGAGTCACTTTGCTGTCCAGCAGAGACTGGTACAACACTGTAAATCAACTATACTTCACTTAAAAAAATATGAAAAAGATGTGCTGAATGAGTAAAGGGGGTCAAGGAATACAATCTCTTACAGAAGGTATTTTTTTGGTCATGAATTTTGTAATTAATACCAGCATTATCTATGACAGCCAAAATTGGACATAACACCTCTATTTCAGGGAAGACTATAGTCAACTGTGGATGGCATACAATGGAACTATTCAAAATGAGCAGCCAAAGAACATACAGTCATCCCTCAGCATCTGCAGGGAGCATGGTTCCAGGAGGCCCAGCGGGCACCAACACCTGCAGACGCTCGGGTCCAGTATGTAGAAGTGTGAAGCCTGTGGATACCGAGGGCTGGCTGTATGGAATTTAAAATAAGATGTGATGCTATGTGGAAAGAAATCCACTTAGAAAGCTCTTCGTATAACTGTAAAGATAACTTTCTATCTAGAAAAAAGGGCTGAAGACAAACAGTGGGCTGTGCTTGGGAGTTAAGTTGATCGGTATTTTTTGGTTTTCTTCCTACTTATTTTCCGTACTTTCTTCAGTGACCATTTACTATTTTCATAAGCAAAAGTGACTTGAAACCAATTGTAAAGAAATTCAAAGACTCAGAAAGTTCTCTAGAAGACATCTAAGGAAGGATGATTTGTTTTGCAGAAAACTGGTTCCAGTGAAACACAAATTGAAGTCATAAGCTATGCGGAGGAGGCTGGATCTGAGACCCTGGAGGACTCCGTGTTTTGACTGTCCCCGGAGCATTGTCAAAACCAACTCACACTCACGAGCCCCGGGGATAAGAATGGGAACAACTGTTTCTTGGCTAAGAGGAGTTTGGAGTTTACCAAACACTCAATTTAGCTGCAAGGGGAAAAACACCCAGACAAATCTCTAACTCACACAGGTTGATTGATTCATCTGACTGTCCTGCCAGGTCTGATCTCTGCACAGGGCAGCACCTCCTCACCTGCCAGCCTCCTGATCTGCATCACTCACCTCAAACACTTCTGCACGAGAGACAGTTATTAAGGCTAACATCAACTGTGTTTACTCTGGTAGTGCCACGTTGACTGGTTCAACTGCCAACGGTAACGATCAGCTAAAATCTCAGGAAGAAAGCATTTTGCACCATCCTGGAGTGAATAGTGAACTTGGATTGAAGACTGTCTTCCCTATAGCAAGTGGGAGCCATGGTGCTTTTATTCTGAGTTCGGGAATACTTTTTCTTTCAAGTAGTGTGTGTGTGTGTTTGTGTGTGTGTGTGTGTGTGTATGTGTATGTGTGTGTGTGTGTGAGACAGAGAGAGAGAGAATCTCAAGCTCTACGGGCACAATCAAGTTAGCATCATTTGAGGCAAACTAATTTCAAAACCTAAGAAGCTAACGTATCAGTCCATACCAAAGGAGGGGACAGGATTATATTCTCAAAGCCGGCCTTGATATTCTGGGAATATACTGAGAAAGGCATTGGGTGGAATTGTGTTGGAAGGGGATCACTTAATTAGGAATGAATTTTCTGAAAAGACGTCTGCTTGCAAAGACTTCAGAGCAACCTGTTGGGCATCTGGTCAAGTAGTGCTGGGTCAGCGCTAGCCTTGGAGGTTTGGAAGGGGTCCTACAGGTATCCCAACAAACATGCCAATCTAGACAGGAATTCCTCCTCTAACATCCTCCCGTATGAGTCTGCAACTAGATCGGTGGCCCCCGCGATGGGCCATGGGCTACAGGTAGAACCAAGTACAGGTGTGGCCAGGGCAGAGAGGGGTTAGGAGGGACAGCTGGTACTTGAAGGGATCCAAACGGTGCTGATTGTACACGGCCCTGGAGCAGGAAGCTTAGAACAGGGAAAGGTCACAGTGCTCAGAACAAACCTCCACCATGGCAGACTCTTTACATGCTTTTCATAGTTGATTTAGTCAGTCTGATCGAGGAATGGGGCATGTTGACTACCAAATACTTCCAGGGGTTGTGTTTCTTTTAATTTCTTTCTTTTTTTTTTTTTGGTTGCTACTCTTCACTGCAGTGCGCAGGCTTCTCACTGCGGAGCATGGGCTCTAGGCACACGGGCTTAGGTGCTCCGCGGCATGTGGAATCTTCCCGGACCAGGGCTCAAACCCGTGTCCCCTGCACTGGCAGGTGGATTCTTAACCACTGGGGAAGTCCCCAGGGGTTGTTTTTCTGATAACCATCCACTGCAAATAGCAGGGACCTGGGCCCAGGATAGTAGGCACAGCAGTCTGGCATCTGTCAGTTACTGCCTATTTCCAAGAGTTATGGACTGAATGCGCCCCACCCCCCATTCACGTGTTGAAACTCTACACCTCAATGTAGTGGTATATGGAGGTGGGACCTTAGGCAGGTGACTAGGTTGGGATGCTCATGAATGGGATTAGTGCTCTTACAAACAGATCCCAAAGAGTTTTTCCCCCATGTGATGATATGAGAAGTTGGCCTTCTGCAACCAGGAAGAGGACTCTCACCAGAACCCCAGCATGCTGACACCCTGATCTGGGACTTCCAGCCTCCAAAACTGTGAGAAATAAATTTCTGTTGTTTATAAGCCCCCCAGACTGTGGTGCTTCGTTACAGCAGCCTGAGCTAAGACACCAAATGTCAGGAGCTGCACCACACGCCTCCCAGACATCACCTCTAATCCTGAGAAGCCCACATGGTACGATTGCCCCTGTCTGACAGATGCAATCACTGCGGCTCAGAGAGCATGTTAGATAAGAAATGGATACTGAGGGGCTGAATACAGGCACTAGTGACCCCGGAAATGTGGAGGGGACGGTTAGGAAACAAGCTGAAGCCTGCTTAGGGGGTGGGACCAGGAGGGCACGGCTGCAATGACTGGCAAAATATCTCATCACCTGATGCAGAGGCTCTGTGAATGGTGGTGAGGAATCTGTAGGAGACTTAGGTTAAGCATGCTCAAGCTTGAGCACATCAGAATCACCTGGCGGGGTCATTAAAGCAGATCAGAGCCTGTGACCGAGGAGGTCCGGTGGGCCTGAGAATCTGCTTTCCCCTAAGCTCTCAGGTGACGCTGATGCTGGTCTCCTGATCCCACTTTGAGAACAGCTGCTCCAGGTGATTCCACTGAATATCAAACTTTGAAAACCAACTGTTTTGTTGCAGGCAAAGCCCTGCAAAAAAAACCAACAACAACAACAACAAAAACCCTACCCCTTTTTCGACTTATTACTCCACATGTGATCTCTTTGAAACTGGGGCCCGGAAACCTAGGACTGTGAAAACGGCCTCTGCCGAGGAGGCTGGACAAGGAGAGAGCCGTGCCCAGTTCTTTCTGTTTGGTGAGGTGCTGGCTTCACACCCACCTGCCTCCACCTCAGTAGCAGCCGTCACCCCGGTACTGAGTCCGACCCACTGCCTGATTTGGGGATATCAGTGTCAGGCAGCAGAGAGCAGCCCATGTGTCTCCCTAGAGGGTTAGGCCCTTCCTTTTCTGCCTTGTGGAACTCACACTCAGTCTTTGGGAACGCGTACCCCATGCCTCCTCCTTCGTGAAACCTTCCAAAGCAGAGTTTGCTTGATCCTGCCTCTGGGGCCTCGTTCTGGGCCTCAGCCCCCCTCTTCCACCGGCTGCCCTATAGGATGGGCCATCCAGGACGATGGGGCTCATGTGAAATGCATTTTCATCTGCAGCCTCTGGGACAGTCCCTGACTCTTAGAAGGGATCAATGCTTCTTGGACCCTCTTAAACCCTCTTCCCACCCCGTCACAGTTCCTTGCAAACAGTTGGAACTGAATGCTATCTGGTAGAGATCATCAAGGTCTAAATTGAAAGCACGGAGAGGAAGACGGGTGTCTAGTGAGAACATGATCGGAAATAACCAGGAGGCTCGCGTGTGCCTGGCCATCTGGCTGGTGGAGCCTGGGCCTCTTTCTGCTGATGATGTGACTACGCTACAATGTGTAAATTACTATACAAAAGGACTTGGGTTTTGAGTGGTGTGTCCTGTTTTCACTGCCCTGTCATGGCAAATCAGAGTGTGAACGCTTCACAGCAAATACCCTCGTCAGCAGGTTGATGAGATACAAGCACCCACCTCTTCCCATCTTCCACCAGGACACGGTGGATGGCCACCTCCCTCCCAAGAGCCTTCATGGTCACAGGCTCAGAACAGTGGTTCTGAACGACAGCCTTTCCAATAACGATTTCAGCCCCATCTGAAATTTAGCGTTTGCGATGCGCTGAGCTCGGCAGGGGACGCGCCGGGGAGACCAGAGGGGGAAGGGCAGTTTGCCAAGAGCTCAGCCACCTGAGCCTCATTGAAATGCCTTAAGGCCTGAAGCTGTTGATGCAGTCTGGGGAGGAACTCCGTGTGGGCCGAGAACATCCTGATTAAAAATCCAAACATTTTCATGGGGGAGGCTTGTATGTGTCAGGCCCATCTGCTGGTGGAATTAACAATCCTTAGGTGCTAATTTGTTAAAGAAAAAGTAGATATCTGGAAGCGCGAACGGAGAACTGAAAAACAGTCTTTGAGCGCACGACTAAAGGTGAAAAACCTAATTAGAATAGGACTTCGTGTCAGCTCAAGGGTCTCCGTGACGACCCCTGTGCAGCTATTCCTGCTTCCACAGCCTACAGACCAAGTTCCAGGGTACCAATTTTTCAAAAACTATTTCTTGTTAAAGAATTAACGGTGTTTTTTCCCCACAGTATCCCCCTTTTAGGTAACAGATATGAATGTAAATGCAGTTCAGAACGAGAAACGCCGAACAGAATTGACAGTGAATTGTCTGCACGTTGAACAGGAGCACATTTCTCATTTTCCCCCCAGACATTCTCATTCTTTGTCCACACTACTGTCTGCATTATCTCTCAGCTAGGACCAACGCAGCAGCCTCTCAGTATCCTGGCCTCCGGTATTACTTTGAAGCATCTCAGCAGAAGCACATCTACCTGTGTCACCCCTGCGCAAAACCCTTAAATAACTCCAGCACCTTCAAGCTCAAGCTCCTTTTAAAACAAAGTCCCCTCTGACTTGGCTTCTCTGTAGCTCTCCAGCCACGTCCCCGGGAAGCACCCCTGTATCACAACTACCCTGTCCCTCATCCGTCCAAGCCGCGGCTGAAGCTTTCTCTGATGGACAAGCCCTTTCAATCTTTTTTCCCCCCCCATCTTGTAGACAGTTTAGCTTCGAAATCTCGGCTCTTTGCCACCAGGAAGTCTATGTTCCCCAAGTACCTTCTGTTGCGTTCTATTTTATCACTTCTTATTTAAAAATTTTCTGTCTCCTTTAAAGGAGAAACACTCCGAAACCGAGAAGGCGGCCCTGTTTATCTTTGTGTCCTGAACAACTGCGTAGGAACTGGTTGAACTTATACCATGAAAAAGAAAGTCAGTTTCTTAAGCCAGACTAGACAACTCTATTCAGCTCAGATCGAAAGAACCGAACTCTAGGCAGCACTCTCATTAACTTTGTGTGAGAACAGTAGAAATATCACTAGAGTTTAACAAAGAAGTTACAAGAACTCACGGTTGGCGTGGCTCTCCCTTCAGAAACGCCTGCCTCGACCTCAGCGGCCGGCCTGCATCCGGGCTCCCGGAGCCTCTACCGCCCACCGACCTTCCGGGAGCCCGTACCGCCCTTTCTGCTCACGTGACTCACGTGCCTTTTGTTAAAGTTCCAGTGGGCTCTTTTCCCCGTGAAGGTGTATTATTCGTTTTCTTTCAGTTATTAAAATGAAAACCCAAGATTTGTCCCTGCCAGGTGATAAAATGAAAGAATGCATAAGCCTGGGGGAAAACTGTGGGTAAGAAATCAACACTTACGCAACTGGTGTCATAGTTCAAAGGTCGGCCAGCTTCCTCTTAAAGGGCTCGACGACAGTAAACCTTTTCAGCTGTGAGAGCCATCCGGGCCTAGCTCCCTGGACCCACACACACACCCCATCCTCGGAAAGGGGGTGGGAGAGTTCAGCAAACCAAAGAGGGCTTAAAACAGCAAACCTCGTGCTGGCACCCTCAGAGGCCTCAACCTTCAAAGAACTGATCACACATCGGCAAGACCCTGGAATTTAGCACTAGAAACGAATTACCTCAATGAGCAGGCAACTCCTTCCCTGCATTAAACTTGCCAGATGTAGCAAATAAAAATAGAGGAGGCCCAGTTAAATCTGAATTTTCGGTAAATGTTTCATGAGACATGCTTATACTAAAAAAGTACTAGTTTTGAAATCCAAGTTTAACTGGGCCTCCTGTACTTTATCTGTCTACCCTGATCTTGTAGGATAGCCCGAGTGTGAAAAACAACTCTGAGACACCTGAAGCCAAGTAAAACAAACAAGCAAAGACCCTCCTTTGTAGTTGAAGAAGTCCAAGCAGCTGAGCTAGACCACTGTGGAGCAAAGAACTCACCACACCTGAGCTGTATGGGTTCTCCCTGCAGGAACCCTACACCTGGGAGCCCTGCCCGTGCCCCTGGTCACTTTTCAACAACCCGGTGTACAACTTCCTAGGAAGCTCACTACCCTTCTTGTTGGGAACTGGTATCCTTATCTATCTATCTATCTATCTATCATCTCCCTTCCTCCCTCCCTCCCTGTTGGTATAAATATCTAACTTTTTGGAGAGAGGCCTGGAGTCACAAGCCACCAGCATCTGAATTCCTGGCCTCCCTGGTCAGCTGTGTGACCTGGAACAAACCTGTAAACCTCCCAGCCTTGGTCCCCCGTGTACCAAATACGAATACTATGTGGGAACTAAACCAGCAGGATGACTTGCAGAGACTGGCACATACTAAGAGCATCGCTGTTGTCCACAATTACTATTATCATTGCATTACTCTGTATTGTGACA